GGCGACCCTGAGCGGGCTCCAGGCACCCAGTCTCAGCCCCTGGGCCACAGCGGGCGCCCCCAGGCAGGAGGCGCCGCGACCCCCTTAGTGGGAGACAGAATAGGTGGCTCGGCCTCACGCCTCCTTTCCCTCTGCCTTCTACACTTCTAGAACGTATGCCTAGAAAATCATCTCACCAACAAACAACGACAACATTTTCCCATTTTTATTAAATTACAGTCGTTCCTGGAGAAATTGGGAAAATACTTAAAAGCATCCAAAGAAAACTAAGACCGCCCCTGATCCCAGCCCCCCGCTTGGTTTCAAAGACCTCCAGATGGGGCAATATTTGCAAACGCACCCGGCCTCAAAGGGAATCTTTTGTGGGTTTTTTGGACCAGAAAATTTTCTTGGGCCTTGACATCTCCCCAGGGAAAAGGCATGGGACACGCAGAACGTTACTGTTATCTGATTTTGATTGTAGTAACTGGGAGAAATGTGGAACTTTTAGAAGAAAGTTGACCCAGTAGCCGTCACGTGTTATGTGCTGAGTATATCACGTTACTCCGCCCCGCCCCATCCCCGCCCCCTGCCCCCGACCCTCGATTTTTCAGACTGCTGTATGTGAACTGTTTGAGTCCACTTTTAGGTTGAGAAGGAGCTTCCAGCTGCATTGAGGAAGGGCCTTGTCAGTAACCACAGTTGTCACTTATGGTCACCATGGTGGGGAACTTTGCTGTGATCACACCGTTGCTTTAATTCGTGTGATGACTGAATTGCCAGAAGGCGCTGTTGACTCTGATCTATGGGTTTCTAAACAGGGGGCGAAACCCCTCTGCTTGCTCTGCTCTGTTTCATGCTGCTCATCAGAGATGAGCTGAGGATGGGTCTGAGGAAGGCATTCTCAGTTTCCAGAATATTCAGGTATGCCTTGCTTTTGACACGTTATTCAAAAGTGGATTGTTTTGAAAATAAAGTACCCTGTGAAGACATCAGAGGGATTCACTCCTGTCATCTTAAGTCTCTGAAGGCAGAGCTGGTGAGACAGTTTCTGTGTGGTTCGGGCTTTCCAGTAGTTGAGTGGGACATTCACTCCCTCATGCATCCATGCATGCATGCCTGCATCTGTGAATATTTACTGTGCTCCTGCCACATGCCAGACACTGTTCTAGTCTTCGGGATACATGGTAACAACACTGCCCTCAAAAGCTTACATTTTGATAGGGAAGACAAACAGACAATGAACAGAATAAATAAGAAAAACTATACTAGGTGCAGGTGATCAAGTACTATGGATAAAAAGGAGGGCAAGGTAAGCGTTACGGGAATTGGGGAGGATGGGTGAAAATTATGCTGTATTATTGACAATTACTGATGGCTTTAAACCTTTTTAGGAATAAGGTGGGTTGCAGATATATATAGTTATTAATATAGTTATACATAACTATATTAATAATATAAAATTTAATATACAAAATAAATAATGCTAATAAAATAAAAATAATTTAAATTTTATTACATCAAAAGACTACACTGAAAGAGGTTTTCATTTGGTTACACCAAGCTCTTTCCAGAGTGTATTCTACTTTGTTGATTATTTGCTCTCACATTCACATTGTAGTTGTATTAAATTTAATACTTTGCACGCCCATTTAATTCAGCAAACCCATATGGACTCATTCTGGGGGCTGGAGTGAGGACAAGGTGAACGATACAGTCTCTGATCCTCCTGAGCTCCTGGAAATGCATAGCCGAGCCTACAAATGATTACAACACAGCTTAGAATCTGAGCAGTACAGCAGTACAGACTATGAGGGCTCAAAGTAGGGGACGGGACATCTGGAAGGGGCTTCACAGGTTGGCATAGGAGTGTGCTTTTGGAGGACCAGTAGAATTTTGGCAGGCAGACATGGTGGTCATGACTCTCTTGCAGAGAGAGCAGCAAAAGCAAGAGATAGGAAAGTTGTGGGCTTGTTTCATGCCTCCCCAGTCATCCCATCATCCCCAGTTTTCAGATGAGGAAACTGGGGCTCCCCAAATTCATTTAATTTGATGAGGGTGAGATTCTTCCTTCTATGTGACTTCAACTCCCTTCCCAGAGTCTGGGAATCCTGCTGCCATCCACTCTCCATGCCAAAACGCTCATCCTTTTTCCCATGTTGAGTTTGACCGGGTCCCTCTCATCAGCTCCCTGGTTCACATTTCCACCCTTCACACCCCAGAGCTCCTCTCTGCCACCCACAGAGAGGTCTGGGACGCCCTTAGCCCTGTGACCAGACTCAAGAACCACACCGTGCATCCAGCAGGGAGGTGGCCCTTTACAGATCTTTGAGGACAGTCAAATGCGGTGCCACTGTACAGGTTTCATCCTGACTGTCTGAGACCTTGGCCACCTAAGTGATTCCTCTCCCGGGACAGAGGAAGATGAGAAGCCCAAGACAAAGCCAGCTGACTGCCTGGAAGAGTCTGGGCCCCTCTTTGCTTCTTTGCTGCTAGGAGGTAAATATATCTCCAGAATTTGGACATCGTGTTTCGATAAAGATGAAGACAGTTGACAGCTATTTCCAAGGAAAATTGGCTCACAGAATTCTTGACTCAGTAAGATCATATTCCCCCAAATTAAGCTTATCCATAATTGTTTCTACCCTAATTCTGCTTCCTGAAACAAAAAATGATGATTTCCAAACTGGATGCTCTTTCGAGGAAATGCTGACAAGAACGGCAGGGAAGGCCACCCCCCCCCACCCCAATAAAATACGGTACCGTCTGGGAGCCGCGAGGAGTAGCTAGGACCGAGCCAGGGCTGGAACTCGGATCCCTGACATTCCTCTTCCCCTGACTTGCCTCCAGAATCTGTCCCTCTCAGTAGAGAGCTTGGAGTCAGCCATGAAAGCCTTGCCCTTTCAGTAAATGCGTAAGAAAGAATGAGAGGTACGGCACTAGGAAATGTGTTCTAAAAGCCTGTTATGGGTGCTGATATGAGACGGATCTGGAACTCCTGGGAGAAAGGCAGAAGGGGCCGTATGTGCCGGGAACAGCGTGACATCACCTACTTCCCGCTCTCCCCTGGGTGCTGTGGGAGCGTTCGCAGGATCCCGGGGTGCTGGAGGCCCGCTTACTGTCCATTTGCAGCTCGGCTCAGCTGTCCACAGTCCCGAATCCTGAGTGATTCTCAGTAGACCAGCAGCTCTGGGACTCAGCTTTGACGGAAAAAAAATTGCACTAACCTTTGTTGGGGGCAGTGTCTATGCCTCCTGAAGAGTCTCAAACCCAGGCAGAAGCAGAAACTTCTAGACCCCCACCCCACTTCCTTCTTTCTGGGCCCAGTAAGGCCAGTTTGAGAATGTTTAGCACAGGCTGAGCATCAAACTGGTTGTGCTTGGAGCTGGACCTCCCTGGTTCTTGCTGCTTCGTCCTCCTCCAGCCCCCTATTCCCTGTACAAGCTACAAAAAGCTGTGGTTCTCGCCGGTGGGGCAGAGGCGTCTTCTGATAGCATATGTAGGTCAGAAGCCAGTTCCCAATTAGGTGGACTCAGTTTTACCTGATACAAGTAGCCAGCTCCTTGGTCCCTTTGAGCCTAAATACAGAGCTGCCTTCTCTCTGCAAGGTCCTGAGAAATCCTTTCTCTATGCTAATAAAATGTGAGTCCATGGCTAAAAGATTAAAGTTTAGATGTATTTTTGAGCGGAGACGTGACCTTGGGCAAGTCAGCTCACCTCTGTGGAAACCAGTTTTCTATGAAGCTTTAAGACCGTTGGATCAGCTGGTCTCCACATCCGTTTGAGTCCAACAGTCCTAGCTGTGGCCACTAGGCAGTGCTTTGGCATTATAATGGATGTGAACTTGGAGAATGGGACATAAACCCACAGCTGTTGTGCGGATTGGGTTCTGTGTCGTTTACACCATGCCGATTATTAGAGGACGTTGCCAAACTCATTTTGTGACTCAATACGCAAAAACACCACGTGACCCAGCGTGCAGGCCTTGGGGGCATAGAAGGCATTTAGCAAAAGCGATACAATAAATTAAATGTAAAGTCAGCAAAAGATTTTTCGTTAAAAATGCAGAGTTGTTATTTGAAAGGCAGTTAAGTAACTTGGCTTTTCTGGTCCAGCATAAAGTTACGACAGGCTTACCATAATGTTGAGGTGCCAACGTGAGTTAGGACAGGGACAGCTGAGGTCATGGTGATGACTTGAGAATTTCTTTCTGCAACTCCTGTTCAGATTTTCTCAGGGACATGCAAGACCGAAAAAGAAAATCTGAAAAACAAACAAGATTGGAAAATTATGCTATGAAGTTATTATTTCTCTTCTTATATAATTCTTCCGGGTACTCTGCAGCACAAAAGACTGATTGGTTAGTTTCCTAAAGGGCCCACATCATAGCTCAGTGGTTCTCAAGCTTGACTGCAAAGTAGGATCACCTGAGAAGCTTTGAAAAGTCCCAATGCCAGACAGGAACCCAGACCAAGGTCTGTCTTCCTCTTCTTATAAGGCCACCGTCCTATCAGATTAGGACCTTACCTTTATGACCTCATCTAACTTAGTTACCTCTGAAAGACCCTACCTCCAGGTTCAATGGCATTAGGGGTTAGGGCTTGAACATATGACTTGCTGGAGAGCACAATTTGGCCCATAGCATATAAATTAAAAGGCACACGTATGACACAATGTGTGTATTAAGGGAACTCGTTCTGGTGATCACCTATGGAGGTAGGGAGTGGGGGTGGTGAATAGAAATAAAAGTGAATCAATTTATCACTTGATCAGTCAAGAGAGGGCATTATGCAGATCCCAGGTGGCACACACCGTGACCAAGTACTCCTCCGTCATACTCTGGTAGGGCACCCCTCTTACTGAGATTTTTTAAAACTGTGGTGTGTGTGTGTGTGTGTGTGTGTGTGTTGGGGTGGGGGTGGTTTGGGCCAATACATATTTTTTGATTTCAGGTTGCACTTTTCTTTTAGAAAGTTTTCCTGGGAAGTTCACTCTCCCGCAGTGAAACCTTGACTCCCAGGATGATCCTGTCTAACGCCACGGCTGTGACACCCTTGCTGACCAAGCTGTGGCAGGGGACAGTTCAACCGGGCAGCAACACATCCAGCCTGGCCCGCAGGTCCCTGGGCCATGATGACGGCAAGCTGGCGGCACTGTACATCCTCATGGTGCTTGGCTTTTTCGGCTTCTTCACTCTGGGCATCATGCTAAGTTACATCCGCTCCAAGAAACTGGAGCACTCCCATGACCCGTACAATGTGTACATCGAGTCTGACACCTGGCAGGGGCAGGACAAGGCGTACTTCCAGGCCCGGATTCTGGAGAGCTGCAGGGCGTGTTATGTCATTGAAAACCAGCTGGCTGTAGAACGACCCACTGCATACCTTCCTGAGGTGAAGCTGTCATCCTGACCCTGAGACTGGTCAGAATTGGACAAAGCCTCCCTGATGATCTGATTTTTCCAATTACATGTTCCTTATATTCTTTACTGCATGAGTATAATTCGGTTTTTTTTTTCTATCATAAGGGGTGAAAGGTGGATTAGTAACACTATATTTCTAAAATCACTTTCCTTCTATAATAGGCTGTGAGCCGCTCCCCAGTATGTGTGCCTGCCTTGTTAATTTCAGCAAAATCCATGACATCACGGCCTCTGAGAATAACAGCTGTCTTTCCCTGACTTCCTTGCAGCTAGCAAGGTCCTGTGTATGAAGTTATGGCCAGTTGAAGTGGGAATGATGAGGGCAATTTCCCAGTGAGCCTTGAAAAGGAAAGGATGTGTCCTCCACTCCCCTCTCCCCTTCCCCATGGCTGGGACATGGATCAGGTGGTGAGCCAGTTTTGACTCTGGAAAAGGACAGTGTATTCACAGATGGCACAGCAATAAGGGTCTGGGCCCCCGGACCATGGCATGGGGCAGGGTCTGGTCAATCACCAGCTCAGACTTTAGAGGAAAGGGAAACTAACTCTGATCTTCCTTGGGCCAGTGTGATTTTGGTTTTTGTTAAAGTAACAGAATCAATATCCTAACGAATACGCCTTCCTTATGGGACTGAGAGCAAAGGCATAATGTCTCCATATTTGTTGCAAGCACACTTCCCCACTTGCTACGGGACAAGACTTACTCCGCCCTTTTCACTCGTACCCTCACCATGGTGGCTACATCCTCCCCTGCCTCCTCTTCCCCTCCATGCCCACCCTTCACACACACACCCCCCAAACACACGCTCATACCCACAGGCACACACGTGCACACAGAAACACACACAGATACACAAGGACACACACACACACTGCCTACTCACGTAGCGCAGTTGAGATGCAGAAGGAAAAAATCCTGCTTCAGAATGTGTACCAAGGGGAAGGTACTCAGTTTTCGTGGCAGGAGGGAGGGTTGCATCCACCACCTCAAGAGCTCAGGGGAAGGCATGGGTGTGGGCAAGGGGCAACACACGGGACTGAGGTGGCAGGGCCTTTTGAGGTAACGTGCCCATCGTGGTTGAATTGTGACCCCCCCCCCCAAAAGATCCTCTTAGCCCTTCAAGTCCTAACCTGTGAATGTGACCTTATCTGGAAATAAGGTCTTTGCAGATGTGATCAAGGAAGGTAAGGTCATTGGGGTGGGCCCTAATCCAATGTGACTGACATCCTTATAAGAAGAGGGAAATTTGGGCAGAGATAGGAGTGGTGCCGCTGCAAACCAAGGACCACCAGGGACTGAGGGCCACCACTGAAAGCTGTGGGAGGAAAGGAAGGATTCTCCCGGGCAGCTTTCAGAGGAAGCAGGGCCCCAAGACCCCGTGATTTCAGACTTCTGGCCTCCAGAACGGGAAGACAAGGGTTTTCTCTTGCTCAAAGCCACTCAGGCTGGGCTAGTGTGCTCCAATAGCCATGGGAAGCTCACGCAGTGCCTCTGCCCTGACCACCCCTCCAGAGACAGCGCTTTCCTCCTGGCCCTTCTCCTCACAAGACAGAGATTCCCTTGGAAACTTCCCTCCCAACTGAGAGCTAGGAAAGGGATTCAGGGGTGGAGGCAGACGGTACCAGGGACTTGCTCGTGGCAGTGGAAGGAGCCTCGTGAGCATGGCCTGGCCTGAGGGACTCAGAGGACGTGTGACCTGGGTCTCAGCCTTCCTCCCGGCTGCCCTCGGTCACCTGCGCCGTCCTGAACGCTCACCTGCCTAGGCATTCCTTAAGAGGGTGGAATACTTAAATAAAACATACTTGTTAGAGAACTGCACATAACATAAATTAGAAGCAACACGTAAGCATCGCTGGCCATCCTCCAATAGGCGAATGGGGTCCAGTCCTTGCTTCATGTAACAGACAGTGATTCCTTTGTGGGCTTGGGGGCAAGGCTCCCAATGGGACATCTCTTGGGCAGAAGCCTGGCAGAGTTACTACAGTCCTCGAGACCAGTGGTTATTTGCATCAGAGTCCTTTGAAAATCTAATGAAAGCTATGATCCCCCCAAATTGCACACAGACACATTTTACCCACAATCTCGGGGGTTCTTGGGCCCCTGGAAGCCCACCTATGACTGCTGGCATCTCCTGGCCGCTTCCCTGCTGTGACAGACACAGTTGGTCCCTAGTGAAGGAAAGCAGGCTGGGCCCGAGAGTTTGGAGAGGGACCCAGAGCGCACGTGGTCGACAACGTGATTCACAGCCACAGGCAGACTTGGGTATTCCAGGCACACAGTCTAATTCTTTATCACCGGTTCACTTACCCCCTGAGGTTCCTGCCCCTTTTAAGGCAGAGGGAGATCCCATGAGCTTTAGTCCTCCCCGTTCTTGAAGCACCAGGCATTCAGCTCACTTCGCCACACCCCTCAAACCTCTTATAAGCCACACATGTTCAAATGCTTGTTACCATATTTAAAATTTTGGGTGAGCATTCGTAGAATGCTTGCTAGGAGCCAGGCACTGTTCTAAGCCCTTTCAAACTAGAATCTCAATGCTTTGTGCGCAATATTTTATGTGTTCACTGAATAGGAAAACATGCCTTTTGAGGTATTAAAAACATCTTTTTGAAAAATTAGAGTCTTTTATCATGATGTGTAGTGTGTGTTTTGTTAATAACACTATGATCCTTTTAGAAAGTGGATGTGGGTTCTTGGGGGGCTCCGGAATAAGGAAGTATGACTGCCCGTGGTTCAACTCTGCCTTAGACACCCCTGATCCTCCAAGTAGAAAACAAGGGAGCAAAGCCCCAGGTGGAGCTGCAGGCAGACTGCCGAGCGCCCCCTCCCCTATTACCCAAGGCTCCTGCTAAGGGGGTGGGAGGCTGCCACTGCTGCGGAATCCCAGACGTCCTCAGCCAGCCAGCAGCTTGGGCAGACTCTAGATGGACTTGTGAGATTTTACTGGAAGTTGGAAATCTGTATATTTATTTGATTTTTTTTTTTTTAAGTTTTTGGCCGCACCCCACGGCATGTGGGATCTTAGTTCCCCAACCAGGGTTCGAACCCACGCCTCCTGCATTGGAAGGCAAAGTCTTAACCACTGGACCACCGGGGAAGTCTGGATATTTATTTGAAATCTCCTGATTTTTGAATGTGGGCAACTAATTCAATTTTATTTTTTTTAATGTGTGGGCCAAACAAGCTATGACCTTGAACTGAATTCTGCTCAAAGACCACTGATTTACAGTCTCTGCTTTAAGGAGAAAGAATAGCTTTGGGCCAGCCCCAGGCCACACTTGATAGAAACCAGAGTCAGGGAGGGGAACCTGCATCTGAAGGACTGCCCGCCATGGTGGCAGAGGCAGGTGGAATCAGTGGCAGCAACCCCCGAGGTGTGGGCCTGGCCAGTGGACCCTCAGATCCCAGCCCTCTGAAAGGATGCTGCATTGGGCTGTCTTTACCTGGCACCTCGCATTCAGATGCCAGGCCCCTCACCCTCTGTCAGCATAGAAGAGGGCATTACAGCTCCAATCTCTGCAGATTCTTGGAACCAGTTGTGGAGTCCGCCCTGGAGAGGTGGATCCACTCTATGAGCAGACAAACCAGGCTTGTCTACAAGACTGAGGGCTGAACGTGGACTGGGGTACACTAGCCAATACAAAGAATGGCATGGCACCTCACCTCTCCTGGAGGCGCGCAGCCTGGCCAGGCGAATGGCTCCAGATTAGGTATGCCCCACGTGCAATTCACCAGACAGTTGGCCTTGGAGAGCAAGCTCCCTGAGGTTTAACTAGACCATGGCTGTCACTTAACTGCTGAGGAAACTGAGGCTCAGCGAGGTTCAAGGACACACCCAAGGTCATCGCTTGCCTGAAGGAGGAAGCCAGCAGGAGGTGTGCTTCCCTAACTTCTGCCCTCGCTGACAAGCCAGGGGTTCCTGGGGGTCTGTGAGGTGGGGAAGGAATGACGGGGCTCTGATTTTATTCTTTTATGCACACTAACCCGACCTGATCATTCTTTACGGGATATCATTTAGGAATATCAGACAGTTTACTCTCCAAAAGGGTCCTCCTCGTTCCCTCCCTTTCTAGGCCCTTTAATGGCTATTGTTGGTCTCCTTTTTAGCCCTTGTTTGTTTAACCTTTTGGTTTAGTTTGTGTCTTTTAGGCTCCAACAGTTTGAAGTAAGGCTCATGACGGCTCAGGGAATTCAGCCAATTCCAGAGGAGAGTGGCCCAAGTCCCTACAGGTCCTTGGAACAGTCAGTGAGGGACTTCTACACCTCTAGGGCAGGCTAGGGTCTGCGGCCCCCATCCAGCAGAAAGAAGTTTCAGAAGAGACCTTCAGCCTCTTACCCCTTGAGAATAAGTGTGTAGGGTCTCTCGGGGGGAATGAGACAGGCTGACCCTTTGCTGCAGTGCTGCAGTACTTGCACCTGGACACACCTCTCCTCAGGCAACAAAATACAAAGAAACTGTATGAGCTAAGTATAACTGCATGCATGCACAGTTAGAGCAAATTCTGGACGAAAGATACAAAGAGACCAAAAAACTCAACTGTCAATTTTGAAGAGCCCACAAGCAGGGGGTCCAGGGCACTGTGCATGCCTCCTGCCTGCAACACCATCTCAGGGGTGGGCAAAGCACCTAAGCCACCACACCGCCCTGACCCCTGGACACACCCTTATTCTCACCCCATATAAGGAACAAGCTTGCCTCACCTCAGTGAGCAAGCCAGCAAGGGAACCTATTGTTTGTTCTCACTCCCCCTTGCTGCAGCAGGGGCCCCATAAAGCCTTGCCTGAAAAAAGAAGTATCCTAATACTGTCTGCACTGTATACCTAGAGGTCTGCTTAAAGAGACAGAAGGTAGTCCAGCATCTGAGCTGGGCCATTTAAAAAAAAAAGGCAAACTGAGCCAAAAAGAAGCCAATTGCAAATTCTGATAATATGGCTTGAAATATTGTCTTTGCCCTGGCTCTGAATTTCAGTTTCCCCTCAGAATACTAT